AGGAGAGAGATAACTCAACTAAAAACCACCTTTCAGGCTAAAAATAAAAATATCCCTCTCTCTGGCAACCATATGTGACTCCAATGCAAGAATGACAGAGTATGCAGCTGGTACGTTACAAGGCTACTCAAAGTGTGGTCTGGGCACTGGCTGCCAGGAGGCGTACTACAATGTGAATCAGCTACATCACTGTAGCATACAATTTAGTTCAATCGACTTTAAAAAAAAAAATTCAAGGCTTTTTCAACAAAGCCAGAAATGTGCTATATTCTGGCACAGCTCATCAGAGGCCACATTTTCAATATAAGATGAGTTACTGAGCAGCTTGGGAAGATCCCCTGGAAGAGGAATAGACTATCCACTCCAGTTTTCTTGGGCTTCCCTGCTGGCTCAGACGGTAAAGTATCTGCCCGCAACACGGGGGACCTGGTTTCAATCCCTGGGTTGGGGTGATCCCCTGGAGGAAGGCATGGCAATCCACTCCAGGATTCCTGCCTGGAGAATCCTCATGGACAGAGGAGCCTGGTGGGCTGCAGTCCGTGGGGTCGCAAAGAGTCAGACATGACCGAGCAACTAAGCACAGCACAGCACACTGGGCAGTTAATGAGAAAATAAACTTTAATGTAGAAAATTGTATTACATACACTAATGTAGATACTAGATGACTTTCTAAATTATATGGCAATAAAGAAGAGTGAGATTAAGGGTGAAGGGAAGAAAATAGAAAAGAACTAGACAAAAATGTTTTCCTAACTGCAGCATGAGGAAGCACTTCCAATTGCAAAAAAACTATAGGAAACAAAATATGAGATTTGACTATTAAAAAAGAGTCTGCAGGTCAAAAACTTTAAAAACATGATTAAACTAAGAGAACTAAGAAGCTCTTAACAATATAACTGATCAAAAAAGAATGCTCTTAACATCAAAAAACTCTGAAAAATTACTGTCTATTAGCTTCAGTTTCCTCATCTATAAAAAGATGATAATAACAATACTTAGTTCCAGACTTCTGTGAGATTGTATTAGATATGGATAAACTGATACAATATCTGATAATAAAAGACTTTTAAATTTTTATTAGATAGCCTTTGTCAATCTAATGTAAATATGATATTTTAAAACTTAAAAATATTGTGTAATTGTGCAGTTTAGAGTTAACACCACAAGTCTGGGTTGCAACCTGCACATTCTAAAAAAGGTCTAGGACTTGTCTTACTCTTCAGAGGAAACTCTAAGCCCTTGAAATATCCTGCCTAATAAAAAAATATCTTCATTTACAGGGGCCCTAAGATATGCCCAGTAGTTAATACTAACAGCATGATTTGTGGTGGGGGACTTAGAACAGCTTGACCTCTGTAGGGAATGGGTAGTCAGCCTTGCCCACATGACTAAATTCCACCAAAACCCCTGGATACCAAAGCTCAGGTTAGCTTCTCCAGTTGGCAGTACAATGTATGTGTTCTCAGACATTATTCGTGAGAGAATTAGCATTTTCTACACAACTCCACTGGAAAAGGACAAGAAGCATGTGCCATGCCAGGTATCTCCTGGGCCCTGCCCTATGTGCCTTTTTCCATGGCTGATTTTAATCTACATCCTTTCACTGTAATAAACTATCACTATAAGTAAAGCAGCTGGGCTGGATTTTATAAGTCCTTCTGGCAAATCACTGAACCAGAGTCTCAGGGACTTTTGTCTCACATAGAAATATAACCAGTTAACATATGCATAATAATTTACAGCTTGAAATCAAAGTATAATCTATTGCTTTAAGAAGCTATGTTCATAGAGATGATTTAAGACAAAATATAGTGAACATGTGTATAGGTATATATTCAACAAACCCTCTCAAAATTATGAATAATTTCCTAAGGTATTTTTATTTATAAAAATAAAATGTAAGCCGTCATCAGAGTAAATTAATGAAAGTCTTATCCATATCTCATAAGTATAAAAACATTAAATAATAATCAAACATTCTATTGTTGAAATTTTTAGTTATAAGAAAAATAAACACTCCCTTGATCTATCATTTAGAAAGAAAAATAATTTTGGAAAAGTAATCATAAAATATTGGTATAAATCAGTTATTTCCTCTTTCTTTGAACTTACACTTTTGTATATCATTACTTATAATTATGACAAGTATTACTTACATTACACATAAATTATAATTGGTAACTTCCCAAAGGAAAAATTTAATAGATTTTTGCAGACATTAAGATTCTTTGGCAATCGTAAAAGAAGGATTTTCTTTCCTTTTTTTTTTTTTTAAAACAAATGCTTCATTTTATTTCATGGTGAACAGATGTGTGTATAGGGTGCAAGGAAAAGGGATGACTGCCCCAGGCTGCGGGCAGGGACTAGTAGCCTCCATAGTCCTTTATGAGCTTGTAAAGGCTTAAATAATCATCAGGGAGCTAGTGGACAAAATGATAATGTGGACGATAATCAGGAGTAGGCCCAGGATCAGGGTGCAGATGTTCAGGCACTTGGCAGTGAAGGCATAGCTCTAGGCCCCAGTGATGTCACCCACCATCTTCTAGTCCCTAGACTTCACGGAGCGGGTGAATGCCATGAAGCCCAAGCAGCACCAGTTTATGAAGACTGTGCTGAACAGGGATTAGACGATGTGATTGGGCATGGAGGCCTCAATGCAGATGTTGATCGGATCGGATCAACAATCAATCAGATGTGGTTGGTCATCGCAGGCGCCAGGCTCTGGGAAGCCTCCAGCGTGGCCACCTTGTGCTACTCCTTGAGCATCTTACAGGCTGGTGGGACCACGCTGTGGGCACCAGTGAAAAAGGGCTGGGAGTGTGGTTCATGGTGGGGATGGTGCAACCGTAGTCCAGACGCCCACTTAACAACATTTTCAATGTAATTAGTCTCATTAAAATAGCCAGAAGTAGCTATTCAATTGCAGTTTGTTAGTAAATGGTTTGAACTGACCCAGATGAAAGATAAACAAGTCAAATAACTGGACAAGGTTACAAAATATTTACTAAGAAAATACAATGTACAAACTTCAATTGGTCACAATGACAGGAAGAAAGAAGATGAAAATGGAAGGAAATTATTGATGTTATATTTTAAGAATCTGTGTAACAAAGATCAAGATTACAAGGAGCCAAAAGTCCTTACCCTCTTACCACATCTCCCACTAACACTTTGACATCAGCAAAACAACATAAATAAGAAAAACATTAGTATTCTGGAAAATTAATGTGCTTACTGAGATAGATGTACCGTATAGGTCTCTTTCAAACAGAAAGCAAACCACTGCATTTCTAATTTAATACTCTCTTGGAAACCAGAGGCTATAATCNTAAAAACCATTAAGTCTTATATAAGTTTTCATCAAAGTTTTCCTTTACCAATCAAATTCCACTGCCAACTCAAGTTTACTCAACTGTCTACAGAGTCCGGCTCTATGATGAAAACAAAGTCAGCTGGGTGAATGGTAGCAAAGTGCTGCCGCCTGTGATGAGCTGGGGAGGATGGGCCCAGCCTAAAGCGTACAGACGCTACTCAGTTCCAAGGAATGGCTGCCATATGGGACTGTGCGTCTAATGCTGCCAGGTCTGGAAATCTGAATTTTTATGTCAAATTTATATTTTTTAATGTTGGCAACTGATTCAATTTTCGAAACACTGCAGCCAAACCAAATATGTCTTTGACCAAAGAGGCCTCCATAAAGATCACCTCCCTGAATAGGGCTTCAGTAAATCTGAGTTCAATTAAAATACTTTTCATTTGTGCTGCTGATACTGCTAGCACGTAGAGAAGCCTACAGTCAAAATTAGGTCTGATTCCCTAACCTACACCATTCTACTGTAGTGTATTTACTGTAAAGTAGTGAAAGTCTGAAAGTGTCAGTTGTTCAATTGTGTCCGACTCTTTGCAACCCCATAGATTGTGGCCTGCCAGGCTCTTCTGTCCATGGAATTCTCTAGGCAAGAATACTGGAGTGGATTACCATTCACTTCTCCAGGGGATCTTCCCAACCCAGATTCCTTACCAATTGAGCCACCAGGGAAGCCCGATTTCCATAAATATGGTCTATTTCTTACGTCATTTGAATCTCAAACTTCATAATACAGGTATTATCCCCATTTTATTGATGAGGAATACAAGATCTAAAGACAGTAGACAACTTAATGAACAAATTCAGAACAGTATGACCCGAGTTAGATGATATGAGTTCAAATCTTTCCTCCAAGATAGTATTTTCATAATTCTGGGAGGGTAAATAACCCCTCTATACTTCAGGTTTCTTCTCTATAAGATGGGTACTCTAACAGTCTATTTCACAGGAAAGTTGTGGGGATATATAAAGCATGTACAAATGTGTCTGGCACATAGCAAGACTATGTAAGTGTTGCTATCACACTTATTATTGCTATTTTTATTATCTATAAAATGAAATTCTTGCTTTGTATGAGTTTTAAGTGAGCTAATCTATGTACAGTGCTTAGAATTATGTCTGAGATGTACTTAATGCTCATTACACATGAATTGTGTGTCCAGTTTAATTCTCTTTCAAATGCATTACTCCTAAACTGTGTAGATAAATTCTTTTGCTCTCTACTGGGTAATAACAAACAGGAACTATCAGAAGTTGAAAGCATTTTTATTTGTATGTAGTGTTTTCCTTGGATGCTTGAATAATGCATACTTTTTTAGTGTCATGATTACTGCAAGGTTTATATCATTTGAAAATGTGTATTGAAATGAATCATATGCCATGTAATGACTGTTCTGATGAGGATTTTAATAATGTAATAAGATTTTATTCAAAATATCAGGAATGGTTGAAATAATCAGAAAATACTCTTCAAATACTCTTCAAATGTAAATGATCTTCTCTCCTTCATTTCCCTAATTTTAAAAATCTTAGGCGCAAAACAAAAAAAAATGGAAAGATATGCAGGCAATTCAATAACTCAGATTACAAAGTTATATGCTAATATATTAGCATAGCCAGGATTTTTACTTACTTGTGGCCCATTTCATGAGCAATTGTAAATGCAAGGTTTAAGCCATTGTCTTCAGCAATAATACATTTTCTCTTTTCACTACACATTCCACTCAAGTAAGCTATACCTAGAAAACACAAACATTAATCATCAAATGTCAGAATTAAAGTGGAAATATTTATGTTTGGTATTAATAGAAGAAAATAAAAATGACAGTTTTCCCCCTCAAATATATCTATTAAACTGTGATATCCAGCTCCTATAAATAATTTCATGAGAAATATATATATGCCATATACATATATGTCACTCAATACATTGTTAATAGTCTTTTAAATTTCATATTTTAGATTGAATCATTTTATCAATTATATAATTCTCCAAGGAATACCATAGAAATACATTTTATAAATATCACTTTTCATCATCATGTAAGATAGTCACAACTTCGAAAATGTAAATAAAAAGCAATGATTATTTAAGCATTTCTCAAATCTTGAAATCTCATTTCAAAGAAATACCCTAAAATAAATTACATTTAGAAGATTCTTGAACTCACATTTATATTCTGAGTTAGTAAAATTTTGAAATTTTATTTTGTGAAATATCATTTTAACTAACGTAACTTAAAAAGCATCCACGGTACTTGGAAAATTTAAAGTCTTTCCTTTGATAATTCCTTAGCTAATAAAGATGATCTGACCCAGAGTACATGATACTGAAATATATTTAAGACAAAAAATTCAGCAAAACATTTGACCTCTTGGTTTAAATTATTAGTAAAGATGATAGTATATGAAATCACTTACACTGATTCGTCAAAGATTTATATACTATTTTACTAATTAAGACATAAACTTCAATAAATATTATTTAATGCAAGGAACTATAATTATCCAAGAGTATATTTTATGTTTTTTCAAGTAAGATATCTTTTATAAAAATGTATTTTTGAATTATTAGCATGTTCTCTAATTTTCATCTCCTTTTAAAATACATGTAACCTCATTTTGTGAAAAAAATTAATGGACAGGTGAAATAATTTGCCAAAGATCACATGACTGCCAAGAATGAATCCATCCACCAGCTAATTTTATTTTGCTTTTGATTACAATTGAGAGCACACTAATGAAAGATGGTTAGCTGAATGCTGTGACTTTTCTCTCTCTTCAGAAACCTGAAGAATAATGGTAAGGAATAATTAAATTTAAATAAAACGACAAATCATCTTGACCATGTTTCGGGGAGAGAAGATTCATGAAGAAAGATGGACTGATTTAGTGAAGCCAAAGACCAAATGATAGGAAAGGAGGAGTTTATGAGCACAGTAGAACCCTAGAGAGGCTCAAGACTGAAACACACAAGGTTTGAGGAGAGGCATTGCTGGGGGGTTGAAATTGGACATTAGTTCAAAGTATATCCTTAACTACTCTTTCAAACCTTCATGCTAATGTCAACGCCTGGTATCCACTGGTTTTCAGAAAAATGAAGATATATTTGTTAGGCAAAATGTAGTATGTACATGTTATTTAAAAAACAGAACTAGAGAAAGAAATGGTCAAGAGATTAAGTATAAAGATGTTATTTTCTCATTGTGTTTAGAAATTAAAATAGATCTTACAGACACTCCAAATCCACAAAGAGAAGAGTAGCTTCTCTACCAATAGATGGGTGGATGGACATATGAATGGATCGATAGATAAGTCCTACTTAATTTGGCTTATTAAGGCAATTGAAATTACTCTATGATTAAATCAAGATAAAGTAGAAGGAAAGATGAAGGCAATAATGAGCAGAAGGAAGAAGAGAAGGAAGAGGCGAGAAACATTCTTTTAACTAGTTCCATTCAACAATAAATGAAATAAAAACTTAAAAATTCTTAAACATAGTGTGAATATTAACAGTGCTAAAGTGAAAGTCACTCAGTCGTGTCCAACTCTTTGCAAGCCCATGGACTGTAGCCTGCCAGGCTCCTCTGTTCATGGGATTCTCTAGGCAAGAATACTAAGGTGGGTGGCCATTGCCTTCTCCAATGGATCTTCCCAATCCAGAGATCGAACCTGGGTCTCCTGCATTGCAGGCGGATTCTTTACCATCTGAGCCACCAGGGAAGCCCTGAGAGTGATAAGGCATGGTCTTATTAAAACAACAAAAGATGGAAAATCAAGATTTAGGAGTAACTGAACTTGTGTCCTACCTGAAGGGAAGGAGAGGTGGAAAGAAGGGAGGGAGAGATGCAAGATGAAAGTAAAGTATTCCCTCTTAAAAGGATATAAAAATTCTCCTGAGCATTTTAAGACTTTTAAAAACACATAATTTGAGATTAAATGTTCTGCACAAATTCTAAATCAAGCTCAACTATAATTAGCATGCTGATGACCACTGTTTAGTACAAAATTTCCTTTAGGATGGCCATATATTTCATCATGTTTTTCACAACTACATATTTCATCACTATATGTAGATTAAAATTCAGCCAATGTGTGTTGTCATGTCATATTCCTTTGCTACATGGACCAGTACATATCAAATTTAATCATTTTAATAAGTTTTATATTTCTTTACCCATACCTATTCAAATATATTGTTCCCAAATGAAAATGGTATTGTCACTTGTTTTTAAATTCCTGTATTTTCTCCATTATTCTTTTTCTTATATATTTTCTAATATTTTTCTGTAATATTACTACATTGGCCAGGATTTTCAATGTAATGTTGAAATATCTGTGGTATTGAGCTCTTTGTTTTCCCTGCTGACTTTAGGAGGAATGTTTACAGTTTCACAATGGAAGATGATTGCTACAGAATTTTGATAGATATAGCTTATTAAGTAAAGGAGCTTAATTTCTAACATTTTTGTATGTCTAAGTGAAAAAAAGAGGCAATGTTATCTGAGGCATGGGTCAAAGGTGAATGGGAATTGGAAATACTTCTTGGAAAAGAAACAGAAGCTTGGAATAGCAACTGAGAGAAACAGGAAAGACCGCTGATGAAGAAGTCAGGAAATACTTAATGTAAATGGATCAGAAAGTATATGGTTCTGCTGCGGATGGAGAACAAGAGCCTGGGGTGGTACTAACATGCCCAGTTGAATGGTATACAACCTAATTGCTGACACAGAGAAGGTTAATGTTTGGATGAAATCTGGGCTGAGGTTTTGTCGATCAGGTATAAAGGAAGAAACCCAGGGTGTAAGAGATTACAGTAACACTTAGAGTAAGAGAAAAGACAGAACTCGCAATGGCCCTATGCTTGATAACTAAAGAGGAAGGGCTGGAGCCAGATCATTAAGGATGAATACAGTGGTCAGGAGAATGGAGTCATCAATGAAGTAGAAGAAGAAACACTTTCCAAAGAAGTACTGGAGACTGTGATACGAGATGGATTTAGGGATTTTTAGATTTCAGAGCTCAAATTCCTAGACACAACTCAGGTATTGCCATGAGGCTAGAAAAGGGCAGAGGTTGAGGTTGAGGTCAAACAATCTTTAAGTAGTGCTCAGGGAACTGATACCATGAACGTGAAATTGCATGTGATCACAACTAACTCAGGAAGGTAGGAAACATAGCCAATATCCACAGGAAATGTGGGCAGGGATTAAGGAGATAGATGAGTCACAGTGACAGAAGGATATGATGGCAGAGATCAGAGTTTCAGCTTCGAATGGTGAGTTTTTATATGAGGATAGGAGAGATTCTGACTTAGAATCAGCAGTGGGAAGCAGGGGGAATGCAACAGGTGTAAAACTTTGGTATCTTCCCAGCACCAGCCCTGCAGTACAAGGATGAGAAAGAATAAACAGTGACCTCTCCGAGGACACTAAATTCTTCACTAGGTATGGGAAATCAGTAACTATTGTATGGGCTATTAAAATATATGGTGATAAAAATGATCTTTACAATATACAAGAAATTTTATACTATAAAATATTTTATGAAATAAAATTCAAATATTGATAGAGGAATGATTACAACTAAGTGCCAAAAAATCCAAATCACCACATTTTCATTGAACAAAACGACCACATAAATATGCTAAATCATTGATAGCAATTATATTATGTGAAGTGATTACAGGTAATTTTTCTTCCTTTTTTCCCATTTTCCAAGTTCATGTGCTTAAAATAGCTTTACAGTGAGAAAATTAAAGACAGAAAATGATACTCATGTCTATGAAATCTGAACAGTGATTAATACAATGTCTTCTACATCAGAATGTAATTTAACAACCAAAAAAGATCCTCTCCATTTATTCTGCTTTTACTCAAGTGTAAAGTCAAAATCTTCAACTAAGTTTCTAATAAATTTGAATTTCATTGTTCTTACATTTGGCACACCAAGGAGATTTTCTTTGACTTGAAAGTTATGGAGAATAATTGTAACCATGACTAATTTAAATGACTTGCATTATTGTGTTTAAAAGCCCTTGCTTTTTCAGCTCCTTTCAAGAACCCACATGTTTCCTATTATAATAAGGGGTAGAGGTTAGGAGGGGAAAGGATTTAACACAGCTGTTATTTAAAGATAGATATAACACAGGCCCTTTTTAAAGCACTTTTTCAATATAAAAATTTTATGAAAAGACAGAGGAAACCAAAACAATTTCTAATTTCTCAACTAAAAATTACTCAAATCATGCACTAGGAGTCAAGAGAATAGCACATCTGAAAACAAAACACTGGACATGATATGATACACCTCTTCAAGATAATCAGAAACCTTTAAAACCTCACAGGATGCATGTTATAATAACAGACTAATTAGAAAATCAGTGTTTTTTTTAATTAATTTTAATTGAAAACTAATTACTTTACAATATTGTAGTGGTTTTTGCCATACATTGACATGAATCAGCCACGGGTGTACATGCGTCCCCCCATCCCGAAACCCCTCCCGCCCCCACTCCTCATCCCATCCCTCTGGGTTTTGAGTGACCTGAGTTTTTATGTGATCAAATGGGTGTATCCTACCAAAAGTAAGTCTTCCAGCTGCAGAACTGTTGCTTTTAACCAGCAGGTAAACCACCTCAGTTCAGAATCCTAGCTTTCCTGGCACAATCCTAGTAAGTTATTTATCTTATGATTGCACCCTATGAGGTGAATTATCCTATCTATGTGTCCCACTATTT